CATGAGTTGGCATGGAGGGTATAAGGGATGATGAAGTAGGTGGGTACATGAGTTGGCATGGAGGGTATAAGGGATGATGAAGTAGGTGGGTACATGAGTTGGCATTGTGAATTTAAGGAGACAAGGGTGGAGGTGGGAGTTGGCATGAAGGGTATTGGGGCTATAAGGATTGGGTGAGAGGGGCATGAATTGATATGGAAGTTATAAAGAGCCATGAGCATGGGAGGTGGTATGAGAGATGGGAAATGTTATAATGTTATAGGATTGGTCCCAGGGAATTGAGGTGGACTTTCCAACCAGCCCATCCCAGCACTTAGCTTGGCTACATATGCTCTGCTTCTAGGGTTGGCATGCCCAGCATTAATCAGCATTGTGCCTACACCACCCCAGAGTAAAAATCAAGACCTTTTCCCAATGCAGGTCAGGAAATTTCCTGACTCAAGCCTTAGTGACAAAAATTCTAGGTCTCATGGAACCACAATGTCAGGTCAACCTTACCCTTGCAAAGTGGGACTTCCACTCATTATGAACAAATTTTTGATGCTTCCAAATATGTTCACCACAGTGAAGGACAAAGAAGCAAAGGGAAGCACATTGACAAATATGGGGAGAACTGTTTTCTCTAGAGCATCAGAAGCTGATGGGTGACCTTACAGAAGTTTGTAAACTCATGAGGGGCATAGATAGGGTGAATAGGCAAGGTCTTTTCCCCAGGGTAGTTGTGTCCAAAACTAAGGGGCATAGGTTTAAGGTGAGAGGGGATTTAAAAGGGACCTAAAGGACAGCTTTTTCACACAGAGGGTGGCGCATGTATGGAATAAGCTGCCAGAGGAAGTGGTGGAGGCTGGTACAATTACAACATTTAAAAGGCATCTGGATGGTTATGTGAATAGGAAGGGTTTAGAGGGATATGGGCCAAATGCTGACAAATAGGACTAGATTAATGTTAGGTGTCTGGTCAGTATACATGAGTTGGACTGAAGGGTCTGTTTCCATGCTGTACATCTCTACGATTCAATGACACTAAGTTGTGCCTTCATTTTGAACATGTTATTTGTGCCCATACCTAGTCTCACTTTGAAGGACTGTCTGCTTTCGTAAGCTTCAGTCTTCTGGCTTTTTTTGCTTTTCTGATGCACTTTTGTTGAAGCAGGTATGTCTGAGCTGTTTTCCACCCTTTGCCAATACATTTTCACTGACTGCAGCCACCTGTTGATAAAATTATACGTTAGAAAATCTCTGTAAAATGTTCATGTTCTTAACATAAAATTAACAGCATAGAACTAAGCCACTTGAGCCGACTGTTGCATCATTTAACCTACTTTACTAATCAACGTGTTGAGTGATATTATTCTACACTTCTGCTCCAGATAGGTAGGCCTCTCAGTCTAGGGGAAGGGACATTACCAATGCACTTCATGAAGGCCCACTGTTGCACTTTGGTGTTCATGCTTCACATGAACCTTCTCACACATTTTTGCCTTTGAGCCTATTAGTATAACTTCCTGCAACTTTCCGCCAAATGTTTATCTGACTCCTCCTATTTTTTTATTTTGTTTTCTTTCTTTTCTTTTTTATTGAAAGTAATCCCCAATCAAATCGCCTTTCTAACAAAGTAAACAATTAATGGAAGGAGAGGGAAGGAGAGAGAGGTTCAAATTAAAATGGAGTTGGAGTGTGAAATAATGCACTCAAAACCTCATGAGGCCCATCTCACTCTAAATACCCCAAGGGTGTTGATGGAAACCCATGCTCCCTCTCTAAGGATACCTGAGTGCAAGCACAGTTACAGAGGTAGGGGCGATGTGGTGGCTCAGTGGTTAGCACTGTTGCCTCACAGCACCAGGGACCTGGGTTCGATTCCACTGTCTGTGTGGAGTTTGCACATTCTCCCCATGTCTGTGTGGGTTTCCACTGGATGCTCCAGTTTCCTCCCACAGTCCAAAGATGTGCAGGTTAGGTGGATTGGCTATGCTAAATTACCCATCAGGGATGTGTAGGCTAGGTATGTTAGCCATGGGAAATGCAGAGTTAAAGGGATGGGTCTGGATGGGATACTCTTCAAAGGGTTGGTGTGGACTTGTTGGGTTGAATGGCCTGTTTCCACGCTGTGGTAATTCTGTGGAAGAAGGGCCAGGCAGTCAGCTTATGTCTCCTTATCTGTCCTATTCACCTTGTGAGAGCAAATTCCACATTCTTATTACTCCCTGCTGAAAGAATCCTCCTGGAGTGAATTCTGTTTAAAGAGAACCATACTTGAAATGTTAACTCTGTTTCACTCTCCACCAGAGCTGCCAGATTTACCAAGTTTCTCTAGCACCTATTGTTTTTATAGCATCATAGAGTCATACTGCATGGAAACAGACCCCTCATACCAACTAGTCCACGCCAACCAGTTAGTTCCCAAACTAAACAAGTCCCACATGCCTGTGATTGGCCCATATTCCTCCAAGCCTTTCCTATTCATGAACTCATCCAAATGTCTTTGAAATGTTGTAACTGTACCTGCACCCACCACTTCCTCTGGAAGTTCATACCACACAGGAGCCACTCTCTGTGTAAAATAGCTGCCCCTCACGTCCTTTTTAAATCGTTTTCCTCTCACCTTAAGAATATGCCCTGTAGTTTTAAAGACCCCCACCCTATGGAAAAGACCTTTGCTATTCACCCTATCTATGCCCCTCATGATTTTATAAATCTCTGTAAGATCACCCCTCAACTTCAGTAAAAGAAGTCCCAGTCTTTCCTGTCTATTTTTATAACCATCTGCTCCTGGTAACATTCCTGGTCAATCTTTTCTGAACCCTGAGATAACAAGGTGTAGAGCTGGATGAACACAGCAGGCCAAGCAGCATCAGAGGAGCAGGAAGGCTGACGTTTCGGGCCTAGACCTTTCTTCAGAAAAATTTCTGAACTCTCTCCAGTTTAATAACAGGCCTTTGTAAAATGTGAGCACTTCGATTAGGAGCTGCTTCATTTTTCTCATGTCCAGAGAGAAAAGGCCCAGGCTGATGGGCTGTAATTCCTCTATTCTGGTATCAACCTCGTGAACATTTTATGATTATGGAATAAAAACACAGAATCGTTACTGTCTAGAAGGAGACCATTCTAGCCAGGTGGGATTAGTTTAGTTTGGGATTATGTTTGGCATGGACTGGTTGGACCGAGGGGTTTGTTTCCATGTTGTGTGACTCTATGGCTCTATGCCCAGTGTATCTGTGCTGGTTCTCTGCAAGATCACTCCAGCTAGTCATTTCCATGAAGTTCTGCAATGTTTTCTTCCCTTTTCAGACAAGGAATCTTTTCCTGTTCAATACAAACATTGACCATGGCTCCATAACACTCTCATTGGAGATCCTAACAACTCGCCATGTCAAAAGATTTCCCATCATTATGTCGCCATTTCTCCTTTGACTAATTGCTGTAAATGATGCCTTCTGGTTCTCAATCCTTCCATGGAGAGGAACAAATCATTTTTTCCTTGCTTCATTTTCTCATCCACGGGTTGTGGGGGGCAGTGGGTCAGGTTTACCCATCCCTAATTGTTCTGGAGGAGGTCTTGGCAAGCTGCCTTCAGGATCACAGAATTATCCAACACAGTCAAAGGCCATTTGGCCCATTCTGCCTGTGCCAGCTCTTTGAAAGGGCTATCCAATCATTCCCATTCTCCTGCCTAGCAATCGTCTCTTTTTCTCCAAACCTACTTTAGATTTGATTGATTGATTGAATATTTTCCCAGCATCCTTCACCCAGGAATTCCAGATCACTGGAAGGCTAGTCGTATGATTGAAACCTGGATAGTGAGGGCTTAACCCATACTATGCAGATATGAAATAAGACATGAAATGGTGTGATTAATTATAAATGATAAAGTAAATGCGAAATGGTTTGGTGCCAAATTACTGAGTCAAGTCTTCTGGATTGCTGATCGTCGCTGACAAAGCCAGAAAAGGGCAACGGATTAAGGCCAACAGATGTTCCCAGACTTCGGCACCAATCTCTCCACCCAAACAGTGAACCTGTAACACAAAGATAACAGTTCACACTTTCACATCACACTTCCCCTCTCAAGGTCAATGGTGGGGAAGCAACAAGAGCAAATCAAGGATAACTTTGGGTAAGACTGTTAAGAAATAAGAAATCTTTTTCTTTTATTTATTGATTTTTTTTGTAACATATATAAACGATTTGGATGAAAATGTCTGACTAGCAAGTTTGCATACGACACAAAAATTGGTAGAGTTGTGGTTATTGAAGAAGGTAGTGAAAGGATACAGCAGGATATCAGTTGAAAAGTTGGGTGGAAAAATGGCAGATAGAGTTTAATCCAGACAAGTGTGAGGTGATGGAGGTCAAATGCAACAGGAACAGTAAATGGCAGGACCCTTAGGAACATTGATATACGGGGGGGGCGGTTTTGAGTTCAAATCCATAGCTCCCTGAAAGTGGCAACACAAGTGGATAAGGTGGTAAAGAAGGCATATGGCATGCTTGCCTTCATCAGTTGAGTATAAATGTTGGCAAGTCATATTATAGCTGTATGAAATTTTAGTTACGCCATATTTGGAGTATTGTGTGCAGTTCTAGTTGCTGCACTGTAGGAAAAATGTGGTTTACCAAGATGTTGCCTGGGTTGGAGTGCATTAGCTCTAAGGACGGGTTGGACAAACCTGGTTTGTCATCACTCGAGCATCAGATATTGAGGGGTATACTGTCAGAAGCATATAAAATTATGAGAGCTGTGGATAGGATGGATAGTCAGAGTCTCTTTCCCAAGGTAGGAAATGTCAAATACTTGGGAGCACAGGTTTAAGATATGTAAAGTGTAAGGAAAAAAAAAGGAAGTTTTTTACATGGACGGTGATAAATGCCTGGAAGTCATTGCCAGGAGAGGCAGTAGAAGCAGATATGATGGCAACATTTAAGATGCATTTAGACAGACATATGAACAGACAGGGAATAGGGAGATACAGACCATGTGCAGGCAAATAGGATTACTTTAGAATGGCATCACGGTTGGTGCAGACATGATGGACCAAAGAGCCTGTTCTTGTGTTATACTGTTCTATTTTCTATGTTAAGGCATCTGAACATCCCCTGCAAGGCCAGCATTTATTGCCCGTCCCTAATTCCCTAAATTAGTGTAGGTTGACCCATAATAAAGTTGGGGATGAAATTCCAAGATTATGTGAACACATTTATGGAGAGGGAGTGGCCTAATGCTATTGTCGCTAGACTATTAATCCAGAGACCCTGGTAATATTCCTGGGATCCGGATTCGAATCCTGCCACAGCAGATGGTGGAACTTGAATTCAATTAAAATCTAGAATTAAGAGTCTAATGATGACCATGAAACCATTGTTAGTTGTTAGGGGAAAATCCCATCTGATTCACTAATGTCTTTTAGGGAAGGACATCTGTCATCCTTACCTGGTCTGGCCTACATGTGACTCCAGACCCACAGTAATGTGATTGATTCTTAACTGCCCTCTAAGCAATAAATGCAGGCCTAGCCATTGATGCCCACTCCCCACAAATGAATTAAAAAGAACTGTTGGATAGCGATAGGTATATGTAAATAACCTTTTGATCAGAAATTATTATGCAGGAACAGCTGATTAGGATGTTACTATCAGCACAAATAATACAATACAATAAAGCTGTAAGCCATACACCACCGTTTGATGGGTACATCCCCATGCATGAATAAATAAATGTTTAAACTGGTTTAAAGAGGAACCAAAGGCTTAATATCACTCATTTAGAAGGATTCTGAGAACAGGCAGCAGTCGTTCCTGTTTACAGAGAGTTGTGAAGGTTTGGAAATAGCTTCCATGATTAAGAACTGAGGCAGAAACCATGGCCAGAGTCAGGACTAGATGGGAGAGATAGATAAAGCACTGAAGGTTGACGGTATACAAGGATAAGGTTGATAAATGGGATTGGGCAACCTGTAACTCACCAACAAAACTGGTCTGTGTCTATAATGTCTAGCAGGGTTTCAAATGAATGGCTAGCAAGAACAGGAATTCTGCCACATTTGAGTCTCCCTCGTGAAGGGTATCAACTGTTGGATATCAATTGTTGCAATCCCCAGTTGAACTGAGCTAATTAAATAGAGATCAGGAATTAATTACTATTCTGGGATCAGGAAGGCAGATCTCCTCCTCCACCCCTCAACACCCACCTACCTGGATGTCACCGGGGACGTTGGGGGTGGGCAAGGAAGGCATCCTCAATGGATCATGGAGCAACCACACGGGGATCCGTGCCAAAGAGCCAGCTGGGTGGCCATGGTGATGGTAAGACATAGAAGCAGAATTAGGCCATTCAGCTCATCAAGTCTGGTCTGTCATTTGATGAAGCCATGGCTGATTTGAACATCCTCAGCTCCATTTTCCTGCCTTTTCCCCATAACACTCGATTGCGTTTCTGATTAAAAATTTGTCTATGTCAGCCTTGAATATACTCAACAACCTAGCCTTAATGGCCCTCTACTCTAAAGAGCTCTATGATTCACAACCTCGGAGGGAAGAAATTCCTCCTTATTTCTGTTTATAATGCATGCCCCCCACCCCAATGCCTTCGGGTCTTAGACTCTCTCACAAGGAGAGACAAACTTTCCACATCTACCATGTGAGGTCTTGTAAGAATCCTATATGGTTCAACAAAGTCCTCTTTCATTCTTCTATATTCCAACAAGTATAGGGCAAATCTACTTATCTTTTCCTCATAAGACAGTCCTTCCATACCAAGTATGAGCCTAGTGAACCTTTTCTGGGTTGTCTCCAATGACAGTACCTCTCCCCTTGGATTAGGGGCCAAAACTGGCCACATATTCCAACTGTGGTCTGACTAGTGCCTTGTATTGTTTTAACAAAATTTCCATACTTTTCAACTCCATACCCTTTGAAATAAAGACGAACATTCCATTTGTTTTTCCCTACCTCATCAAAGATGACATATTGAATCCTGTTAACCCAATCCTGTAGATGAGGAGACAGCAGGAGAATTTCTAGACACTGCGGGACTGTTACGAGGATCTGTAAGTAAAGCATGTATCAACATAACAAGCAGAATTCATCATCGTTTACAATAAATCTTTCATTCTCCGCAAACCAGGGCTCATTCAAAGCTCTGCTGCTCATAACCCACAACACCAGGTTATAGTCCAACAAGTTTATTTGGAAACGCAAGCTTTCAGGCATAGGAACAGGCTGAGCTCCAAACGCTTGCATTTTCAAATAAACCTGTTGGATTAAATCCTGGCGTCATGTGATTTTTGACCTTGTCCACCCCAGTCCACCGGCACCTCCACATCATGGTTCATGACCTAAAGTAAGGGAAGGATACTCATGGGATATTTGTAGAAAAGTAGTAATGTCATTGCTAATAATCTGAAAGCCCAGGTAAATGATTCGGGGGCACATAGGTTCAAATCCCATCATGGTTACCAGTAGGATCTAAACTCAATTAATCAAATCTAGAATTGAAGCTCAACTCAGTAATTGTGACAATGAAAACATCACCAACCAGCTCACAAATGCTTTCTGAGGGAAGAAATCTTTACCTAGTCTGATGGTAAAAGCCAATATAGGCCAGAGGGCCATAGGGCTGCTTTCTCATTAGAGAGGGAAGGATGATTGGGGGTGAGATTAACCTGGGGGTCACCACACCTCAGGCAAAGGGGCAAGGTTGCGAAGGAAAAGCCTTTGTAGTAATCTCAACCAGTGTGGAAATTGAACCAGGGCTGTTGGTGTCATTGTGCATCATGAGCCAGCTTAATGACAGTCTGACCCCTACATGTGACTTCAGAAAGCCAGCAATGTGGTTGACTCTTAACTGACCTCTGAAATGGCCGAACAATCTATTGATGTAAAGGCAATTAGGGATGGACAACAAATTTTAGCCTTTCTAATGATACCCACAAAAGAATACATTTTTTAAAAAGGACCATGTCTTGTTTTCCCACAACCCCTTGCTCACCAGATACTCTTGGCCCCGGTCCCTGAAAACCTCCATTTTCAAATTTGAACCCACTTGGTCTAGACCCTCAACAGCTTCATTCTCTCAATCTGTGCTACCTCCTTGAGTTGTTCAAACCGTCAAAAATAATATATGTTCCTGCAGTCTGAACCAGCTGGGCCTGCAGATGTCCAGGTCCCAAACTCTGGAATTCTTTCACCAAACCCGCCTCACCACCAAAAATAAATTTCAAAGGGAGTTGGATGGGCACTTGAGAATGAGGAACTTACAGGGTTTCCAATTGGAGAAATGGGAATGGGGGAGCAACGGCGCCTTCACAGACATGGATGGGCTGATTGGCCTCCTTCTGTTCAATATGTTTCCGGGGTTCTAAGTCACTCCTTGAAATCGACCTGATTGATCACCCATTCTCATGGAACAGGAGATCCAGCAGCAAGAGGTGACGGAGAGGGACAATAGCTGGAATGGTCTCTCACAGGAAACAAAAGAATCTTTTTGGTGGAAAGAGGTCTGAAGGGAAAGGAGAGCAGACAAAGGATTTCCTCAGCATAACGTAACCCACATAGCATAAATAGTTCCTTGTTATCCTTAATTTCCCTTCTGGTTTGTAATGACCTATCACTAGTGGAACTTGGAATCAACTGCTTCCTGATCTTTGTGCCTTCTGTATATTCAAATTTCCTGTAAGATTAATGTTAAAATTTGTCTAATTATGCTGTTGTGAAGCATCATGGGAATGTTGACTATGGTAATGGCGCCATTTGAAGGCAAGTCAATGTTATTACAGTTAAGGATTTATTATTATCGCTGTAGTTTTCAATGGTTTAATATCTATTAATCATCCTCGGTAACTTGTGTTTTGTTTACACTACTATTGAAATCAGAGATAAAAGGCATGGCTGTTGTAGCCCAGTGAGTCAGCAACTCAGAGATCCTGCGCTCATAACTTAAGATGAGTTGGATAAAATGACCAACTGATTGTTTGAACAAAACCAAAGGTAGTTAACCCCTTTCCAGCCCAGGTATGCTCGTGACTCTGGACCCACATGATAGGGGTTGAGCCCATGGCATCGTCAGGGTAATGGTAGGATTGGGATGCGAACACATGAGTGAATGTGAATGCTTCGGAGTAGGCCCAGCAGGAGTAGGCCCCTCTTGCTTGTTCCACCAGTCAATGAGATCAATCAGTGAGGAGTTAGGCTCTGGAAATGTGGTGGAGGCAGGTTCAGTCAAGCAGGCATTGGATGGTTATTGGATGTGCAAGAGTATGGGGTGAAAGCAGAAGATTGGCAGTAGGTACTAGAGCTGGTGCAGGCACGATGGGCCGAATGGCTCCATCTCCACCATAACAATTCTGATCTAATCATGGTCTTGACTCCTGCCTACCTCTGATACCCTTTGACCCGCTTCTTAGTTCCGATACACCTGGGGTGTGCAAAGTACAATGATGTTCAAAAGGGTAATTGGATTCGAAAGATACTATTCCAGATTCTTCTACCTTTTGGAAGGTACAAACATTTTGCTGACTGTTGTGTTACGTAACAGAATCAGGAACGTACCTGGCAGTCATGAATATGATGGTGATAATCTCTTGTGAAACATCCACACACCACCATTCCATTTGGTAATGATTTGGTAAATCTTCCATAGACAGTTGCCACCACTTGGTTAACAAGGGCCTAACAAAAGGAGACAGATGATCTGGTTGTAATTAAGGCAAGAGATTCTGCTGGGACTGCAATTGAAGAGCAGATGAGAGGTGCACCCAGAGGAAGTCAGCATTAATTTACCAGGGAGCAGCATTCCACTAATTTCATTTTCCCTGAGTGAACCTCCAAGGTGGTTTCTGGAAACAAACATCAACACTGCAAGTGCCATTGGCTGCCAGTCACCATGCATGGGTCCTCAGAGCCGCATGCAATGGCACAGTTTAGAGGAAATGTTGCCCTACAGTCAGCATCAGAGTAATGTAAGGAAGCAACTCAAGCAATATAGAGTGGGCACACCTTTTGAGGCCTACATCACTTACAAAGTTGTTGAGATAAATCACTCAACTACTTGTATCTGGCCTACTCTGAGTTCAAAGGGAGAGCATAAAAAATAATAAGGACGTCACAGAAAATCTGCAAATTCATTGGTCGGTAAGAAACAGTTGTTCAGGATTGTTTTAAAACCGCGGCAAAAGTTAAAAGCGTACTATTTCTAAAGAAGATATCATTGAGAGAAACAAGGAATAAGGGGGAACAAAGTCAGGGTGAATATAATAAAGTCATATAAGTAATCCAAAATAGAATAAAGCTAACAATACAGAAATAATTGTAAGATATGGTAGCTCCGCTCAGTCGAGTGGAATGCATGGCCCATAACTAAGTGGGAAGTCATGGTGTGTCCTTGAAGACCACTTGCTTCAGAAATTTGGCTTCCGGGTTTCAGAGCTTGAGCAGTGCCTGAAGACACTAAGATGCATCCACCAGATTGAATGATACTTGGACAGCATATTTCAGAGAATGGTACCACCACAGCCCTGGTGTGGACCAGATGGGCCAAATTGCCTGCTTCCACTCTGTAGGGATTCTATGATTCTATGACTGAATGTTAAATATTCCTGGGTACAAGGTGCTCAGCAAAGATAGAAATATAAGGAGAAGGATAACTGTGTTGGTTAAGGAGGGAGCATAGAAGGCTGGAGAAAGAGGACGTTGAAGAAGATTCAAGGACAGGATGGATTTGTTCAGAGCTAAGGAATGGAAAGGTACAAGTACATTGCTCAGTGTAGTCCATAACCACCTACTAGTGGGAAGAATGTACAGGAACAAATCTGCGGGGAAATTATCACACTTCCTGCATGACAGCAACGACTGCACTTTCGAAAGTACTTCACTTCCTGTGAAACTCTTTGATACATCTAGAGGCCATGAATGCCAATTACTAAATGCAACCCTTTTCTCTGTAGCCCAGCTGTGTTTGGGGGTAGACTCCTTACCTTGGTAGGTGAAACATACACCACAATGCCAGTGTTACTGCCCCTCAGCACTTTCTCCATACAGTAGTAAGATGCGTAGGTTTTCCCTGACGACGTTGGAGCTACAATCACAGCAGATTCATTGTTGTCCACAGCATCTAACAGCTCCCTCTGAAATCCAAACACAGAAAAGTCAGACATATTGAAAACTCCAGCTCAACACACATCTTCACAACCCCCTGGGTTATTTGTCACAAGTAGAGAGATTTTGTTTTTTCCTTAATTCATTCATGAAATGAGGGCATCACTGGCCAGCCTGGTATTTATTGCCCATCCCTAATTGCCCAGAGGGCAGTTGAGAGTCAATCACATTGCTGAGGGTCTGGAGTCACATGTAGGCCAGACCAGGTAAGGATGGCAGTTTCCTTCGCTAAAGGCCGTGGCAGGATTTGAACCCAGGTTCCCTAGACATTATCTGGGTCTCAGATTAATAGTCTGGCGATAATGCCACTAGGCCATCACCTACCTATTAATTGTAGGGTTATGGAAAAGGGGTAGGAACCTGGGCCTGGCGGGGATGCTCTTCGGAGAGTTGCTACAGACTCAATGGGCCAAATGGCCTCTTTCCGCACTGTAGGGACTCTATGATTCCAATTAGGCAGGGGGTGAGCTGAAGAACCAATTAGTGATTCTGTGCACTTCCATGGGGTTAGGAGCTGCCTGACAGATAGTAGCAGCCAAAGCAGATAGTGGTAATGTTAGGGACTCCGCCAATCTCCTGGCCAATAAAGGCCAGGCCTTCAGTTGCCTCTACAATTCCCTCCCCACACCTTTCTCCCTCTCAAACTCTCTTTAAATAAACTTCTGCTCCTCTGACCAACGTCTTCATGAGCTGGCTTAGAATGTAGCTCAGTGTCAAATCCTGATTAATAATGACGCTGTCAACCATCTTGCAGCAGTCTACAACACTGGAGATGTTTTATTGTTTCAATTTGTTGTTGAAATTGTGAAATATGAAACACATACATTTTCATCAAACAAGGAATGCCAACACTTATTGTAAACCACAGAGCAAGGGATTGGAGTGAAAATTTCAGGAACTAAACATTGTAAAAAAATCGCAATTTGATTTTCTCCATTAATGTCCTCTGCACCTGTTCAACTCCAGGTGGTGTCCTGAACCTACAGGAATACTTAAACCTCTATCAAAATAGTCATTAAAAATCCATCCTGCAATGTGTTAGGCACCTGCCTGTTGTATGTACACCTTGCCTTTAAGAGAATCATAGAGTCAAATAGCATGGAAATAGACTCTTTGGTCCAACCTGTCCATGCTGACCATGTTCCCAAGCTAAACTAGCCCCACTTGCCTGCTCCTGGCCCATATCCCTCCTAACGTTTCCTATTCATGACCTGATCCAAATGTCTTTTAAACATAACTGCACCCACATCCATCACTTCCTCTAGAAGTTCATTTCACACACGAACCACTCTGTGTAATAAAACTGCCCCCTCATGTCCTTTTTAAATCTTTCTCCTCTCATCTTAAACTTTAAAGATTCCATTATCTGTTTGTATCTGCAATGCTAGGACTCTACCTGCCATTTAGTGTGCTATGGGATTGCAATACGGCATGCACAGAAATTAGTGAGCTACTTCAAAATATACATTAAAAACTTAAGAACCAGGAGCAGGAATAGGCCATTCAGCCCCTCGAGCCTGATCTGCCATTTAATACGATCACGGCTGATCTCATCTTGGCCTCAACTTCACTTTCCTGCCCGATCTCCATAACACTTTAACCCATTACTAACTAAAAATCTGTCTATCTTTGCCTTAAATTTATTCAGTGTCCCAGAATCCACTGCACTTGGGGGTAGTGAATTGCACAGATTCATGACTCTTTGAGAGATGTAATTTCTCCCTATCTCTGTTTTAAGCTCACTATCCCTTATCCTAAAGCTATGACCTCACGTTCTAGATTGCCCCACATGAGGAAACATCCTCTCTACGTCTACTTTGCCAATGCCCAGATACCTCCATTAGATCTCCTCTCGTCCTTTCAAACTGCAGTGAGTATAGGTTTAAACCGCCCAATCTCTCCTCATGAGACAACCTCTTTTTTCACTGTGTTAAACCACGGGGTGGACGTGCTGGTGTTGGACTAAGTCGGACAAGGTCAGAAGTCACACGACACCAGGTTATAGTGCAACAGGTTTATTTAAAATCACAAGCTTTCACAGCACTGCTCCTTTGTCAGGCGATGTTATTTTAAATAAACCTGTTGGACTATAACCTGATGCCGTGTGACTTCTGACTGTTTTAAATAAGGTAACTCGTAGAATTAATCAATCCTTGATGAGCAATTGATTTTTACATCATTACCACTATCCTGCTTCTCTCAAGGTTACAACCCAGAAAGCCTTTTGACTGTTTAAATTAGCAAGAAGTGTTTTATAACATTCGCTGTGCATTGCCCAACTGAGTACTGTGGTTTACCTGCCATGAATCTGGTATAAAATGCCGAACCCTTGGATCAGGATCTTTCCTTTCCTCCCGGAATAGATAAGGACCCATATGTTGCAGCTGGAAACGAGCTGCTCCTACACCGACTGGAAACTTGGGATCTTTCATCGATTTAATTTTCATTTCTCGTTTCTGCGGTGAAATTTAATGAAAATGTGAGTTTGTTGTGATCTGGTTTGGCAAACAGAAACACTTCAATTCCTTGTCTTTATTTTTCCATGAGACATGAGCCAGCACTTGTTGTCTGTCCCTGTTTGCCCTTGAATTTAGATACCATTTCACAGGTTTGTTAATGGTCAACGGTTTGGTCTGGAGTCACGTGTGAGCCAAACTGGGGAAGGATGGCTGATCTCCTTCCCTTCACTAAAGGGCATTAGTGAACCAGATGGGTTTCTTTCCACGTTGAAAGATAGTTTCACAGGACCAGCTTCAGATTCCACAATAATCACTACAGTAACATAATTTTTATTATAGCAATCAATTGAAGTTAACCATCAAAGATTTGAGCCTGTGCTGGCAGAATATTTGGGTTGCTAATCCAAGATTATTACAAGAACATTGCTGTTATCCCTTTCAATTGCAACTATAAAGACAATCTCTTTTTATTTTTGTGCTTTTTGAAAATGAAATGAGAAAGAACTGTTTGAAAACCAATTTATGAGGATGGCTGTGTGATTTGAAAGTAAAGGAATTTGATACCTATTGTGAACCCTACTTGTGCAGCCGTCGGTTCCAGCAATGTGCAGACGAACTGGAGCCGAGGGGTTACTTGTAAGTGAAGTTGATTGGTTTATTGAAGAGGGACCAATCATCAATGACAATGTTGTTGTCAGGTGGAGGACCAACGTGATTGTATGTCAGGTAGTTGAACAGCTTGGGCACTGAGCAAGACAGAGACAAGCTAGTTCAGTCCAGAGGAGAACCTAGCAGGCCTGCAACAGCCAGAAACTCTCAGTTCTCTGCGGTAAGCCACTTTAAACCGGAACAAAATTAGTTTATCTCTTCTTCAGCAGATGATACAAGCTGTAAGTTTGAATTCAATAAAGTAGAGACCATTTATAATTGAACCAGCCACCTTACGCCTCTTGCAAAGAAATAGAAACATCTAGAAAAAAGAAAGTTGAAGAGAAATATCAGATCAGCAAAAACCAACCCAACAGATCTTGTGAACAAAATCTATGGAACTGTTTTACCAGTTTTCCCTCCCCTCACGTGTATTTATCCCTGTTTATGTGCCTCTGTGTGCCTGTGTGGGGGGGTGGTTGGGTGGGTGGGTGGATGCGTGTGGGTGTGTTTGTGTATTCGTGTGGGGAGTTGCTGTGTGTGTGTCTGTATCTGTGTGTGGTGGTGTGTGTGTCTGTGTGCATGGGTGTATGTCTGTGTGTGAGAGAGAGAGAGAGTGTGTATATGTGTATCCGTGTATGTGTGTGTGTGTGTGTATGTGTGTATGTCTGTGCATGTCTGTGTGCATGGGTGTGTGTGTGTCTGTGCATGTCCGTGTGCGTGGGTGTGTGTGTCTGTGTGTGTGGGTGTGTGTCTGTGTGTGTGGATGTGTGTGTCTGTGTGCGTGGGTGTGTGTCTGTGTGTGTGGGTGTGTGTGTCTGTGTGTCTGTGTGTGTGTGTGTGTCTGTATGTGTGTGTGTGTGTGTCTGTGCATGCGTATGGGAAAGTTTATAAGAGGTGATTTTCTTTTGTAGTGTTATATGCTACCAGTTATAATTGTGTGCCTGAAGCTAGATTCTAGTGACCTGTAATAAGTAGTGATTCCTGTTCAGTACAGAAATCTGGTCAATGTTTAGTCTCAACTTGGGTCTGAGAATATGGTAGTTTGATGAGTTTGAGTATTTCCTTTAAAAGACTTAACTTTGTGACAACTTTGGGAATACTGGGGGTTGATTCCCAGCACGTTGTCCTTGTGAGCAGTGACACCATCGATATGCACAGGCTGCTCAGCCACTTTTTTAATTAAAATAACTACATATAAAGCAGATAATTTAAGGGCCTAGTGGTAATGTTGCTGGACTAGCAATCCAGAACCCTGGGTTAATTTTCTGGGGGATCATGTCCTTACCTGGTCTGGCCTGCATGTGACTCCATGCCCCCGGCAATGTGGTTGACTCCTAACTCCCCCATGAACAATTCAGGATGAACAATAAATGCTGCCCTAGCCTGCAACACTCATAACCTACAAGTTTAATAATAAACAAGATACTGCAGTATTGATCAGAAACAAAACTATTAAAATTTTGTATTACTCCCTGGTTACAGTAACGTTTTCATTTTTTTAAATAAGGCTTATTTTGGGCAATTTACTGAGAGGAAAAGAACTGAAATTAAAGAGATGACAGTGATACAGTTCAGAGTGGTATAACTGAGCAATATCGACTGGAGGAGAACACAAATGAACAGTACAGTTTCTCTGGCCATGACCCACAACTTCAGGATGAGGTTTAAAGCCAATTAAATGATTTATGCACGTCAAGCTAGCAGAGTTGGGGAGTGGTAACAAGGTACCCGGACTAATAATTTACAGCCTCAGGCACTGAAGAGATGGGTTCAAATCCCACCAAAACAGCTATTGGTGTTCAAATTTAGTTAGTAATCCTGGAAGTAATAGCAAGTGTTAGTGATGGAGACTATAAAGCTATCATGACTAAGTTAAAAAGTGTTTAGCTAATGGATGTGGCACGGTGGCTCAGTGGTTAGGGACGGCACGGTGGCACAGTGGTTAGGGACTGTACAGTGGCTCAGTGGTTAGGGGCGGTACGGTGGCTCAGTGTTAGGGATGGCATGGTGGCTCAGCGGTTAGGGGCGGCACGGTGGCTCAGTGGTTAGGGGTGGTATGGTGGCTCAGTGGTTAGGGGCAGCA